TTAATGATTCTATGATTCTATGAAAGTTGAAACTATATTTATATATTTTATATTATGCTCATTTATACAAAGTCTTTGCCACTCTAGACTTGAATATTTCATTAAGTCAGCAATGTATGGATTAGGAACTGATAAATTTAGTAATAATTTTTCAGTATTGCTTAAACTTTTAAAATGTCCAGTTTTGCAATTTAGAATTTCATATAGTCACAGGGCTACTTTGACCATCTCCAACTCAAAATTTATTAGTTGCTGAATTTTTCTTTTCCTAAATGCAGTTTTCCCATTTAAGCTAAAGGTAATTTCATTGCTGTTATTCACGTGATAGTATTATGAGCTTGTTTATGTGTTTGATCTGCTTGTATATATTGACATGTATTTCCTACCATTGCAGAATGAATCCAGAGAGCACATTGTTGCCTTCAACATGTTAAATTACAGAGCATGCAAAAATCTGTGGAAATCTTGTGTAGAACATCACACCTTCTTTCAGGCAAAGAAGTCACTACCTCATGAAAAAAAGATATTGTCACATTATTGGACCCTGGGTTCTAGAAATCCAGCAAAGTAAGTATTGTGTGAAAGCATGTTTTGTATTGTAATGGGAAAGGCAAGATTTGTGTCAGTGATAGCTCAAGTTGGAGTGTCAGAGTTCAGTTCTGCCCACAGCTTTGTCCCAGTCTGGACAAGTTACATAGCTGTGGTTTCAGTTTCTGCAACATGCTGTCATTACAACATAACGTCTTATTTCCTAAAAAGTTGTTAGAATATAAGTATGTTTTACTGGTGTTTTTTCAACTTGCTGTTTCAGTTTGAAGTATAAAAACGCAAGAAAGTAAAAATGTCACGTAGCTAATGATCCAATAAGAGAATTTGCAGAACAGATTTGTTTTGAACTGTTTACCCCTTAGAATATACACTTTCTGTTTACTATGTTAGAGCAATTTATATAGTGCGTCATATCAACCACTTAGTACTGACATTGAGATGAAAAACTGTGCCATCCACATGTTCAAGATAGCACTTTTGTGACGCTTCTAATCTTTTATTTGCCTCGTTGGGTTCTGCTAGTCATGGAGCTGGTAATTTTGTAGTGGTATCTAGGATCTAGTTCCCCAAAAGTAATACTTCAGAGCCTGTTATTTTGCTATATGAATTTGGAATTGTTCCTTCCCATATACACCAACTGGGCCCTAACTTCATTAAACTTCATTTTCCAGTTCATTGTGTAGTCACTTGACATTGTAATGTCCTCCATTTTTTCACAATTGACACTTATTTTTGCCATCTTTTGCAATTAATATCTTCAGCCAACTTTGTTCACTTTTTCCTGTAGATCACTAGTTAATTAAGTTGAATAGAAAAGCCCCCCCCAAGAAATATTCCTCTAAGACTTCACTGCTGATCTTTTTCCACTATAAATCTAAAAAGTTTTTTCCTGTTCTCTCTTCTGTGTCACAAATGAACAAGTAATTCCTCCAAGTGAAGACCTATTCCCTAGCTCCTTAGTTTCTTTTTGAAATCTTGAGTAGATTAAATCACTCGTTTAAACTGGGAGGTTATACTCAAGTAGTTCCACTGTTTCGTCTTAGAGGCTTTTAGTTTGTTTTTTTTTATAAGTATCAGTCCCAGTGATTTCTCTCATTAGGTTGATTCATTCTATTGTTTCATGTATCAGCGATTCATCTGATTCCTGTTTCATATTGTGTGTCATCATCGTCTTGTCTGTGTCCCGTACCTATCCCTCCCCACCTCCCTGCCCCTGAAAAAAGTTCTGTCATGAAACATATCAAAAATCTTTCATATTGATAGTGAATGAAGAAGAAAGTCTTATGTCATTATCTTTTCTGAATGTGAGACTTTGGAGGGTTCTTTGGTCCTTCAATCATCTGTAGTCTCTGTAGAGTCTCTAGAAACCTTGTTCTGATGATTGAGAAGTATTTTACTGTTTTCTCTGTGGGTGGTGTTTGTCAGTTTTTTACAATGTGTTCCCTTAACAGTTGAACTTTGCATTTAATTTGTCACATTGATTCTCTTTCCTCTTTGAATAAGCTTCAGCTTTTGATGATGTCGTCATACTTCAAATATCTTCCCAGACTTTGGTGGCTGGCTGCCTTTTAATATTGTCATGTCTCTTTAGATACTGCAGAAATTCATACTAAGTGGATCAGTGTTGCTTTAAATGAAGCAGTTAACCTATGTGGGCTCTCCAACAGTATGAAGACTGATAAAATGTTATTTTTTCTGTTGGAGTGGAATTCAATATTTTCGCCTGGTACTAGTTCATAGCTGAAGCAAGTCAAAACATGTAGTTGTATGAACAGTAATCTAGTTTTCTAACAGTTGGCAGATCCGTATTTTGAGAATTAGCTCCTCTATGGGGTGATATGAACTTGTTCTTTGGATAGTGAAGGTTTTGAGGAGGTGACTTTCTCAAAGCTTGTAGGATTGTCGCTGGAGTCCTTTATTTCTCTCAAATTTGCAAATGGATTTGAAATCCTGATGCTTGTATATACACATGCACACACAGGCATTGTAATTTTAAGAAAGAAAATAGCATGAGTTCCAGAGGGTACCAGTTTAGTATTGTTCCGATTTTTACCAAACATTTGATTTTTGACGAATTTACTATTAAAATTTCTTAATAGTCTGTAGCATACAGAGTAGTTCTCAATGTTGAACTGAGTTACTAAGAAAGACTTCTTTTCAAGTGATTTCATGTTCTGAGGCATTATCTCTGGCAAATTGCTTATTAAGGCTTTTAAGGACTCTCTAGGGAGAACTGTTCACTGTGATATCTTCCATCAGCTTAATGATAACCTTTATACTAATGCATTCTGTTCGCCTTATTTATGCCAGCAATGAACATGACATTTAAGATCTACATGAGGCAGAAATGACACAGCAACCTTTACTATCAGAGACTGCTAGAGTACATAAGAAGCAACATTAATTTTGGAAGACTTTCAGCAGTTCTTGTCAACTTGGTCACTGTCACTCAGCAATTATTTTCCCAAAAGATTTAAGAAAAGGAGTGAACAAGTCACTTCTGAAGTCATCTGTCATGTATTGAAAATTTTTACTTTCCCACTTGTTTGTGATTGTGGAATGTTGTAAGAGACAGCACCAGCTTCTGTGTTCCTTTTCAGGGGTGTGTCTGAGCTCATGTGGAAGCTACACAACCAAAAAAAAGGGATTTTGCATTCTCCCTGATAAAAGGGAGCAAAAACTTGCATTGAGTAAAAAACCAACCAAACAAAACCAAACAAAAACCCACAAAACCAAAAACAAAGATGCACACAAAAACCCCACCAACCACAACATATAACCTTGGAGGTTTTAAGGTTGACTTGTCTTCAGTAATTCTTTTCATCCAACTTCTGTCAGCTTTGAAGGTGGTTACATTCAGGTTTTCCCACCTTTAAGTATCACAGGTTTTCATTCGTAGCTTTCTTGCACTATGTTCTTTTTTACATTCATGTGAGGCAGATATTCTAGCTCTGATTGCACCATTTCAAATAATTGAACTCTTGCAAGTATTTCTTATTTGCCAATTCTGTGCCCTTCTAGATTATCTTAGTTTAAGATACTAGTGGAATTCAATTTAAATTAGGCTGCTGGGTTGTATAAAGTGCCTGTAAGCCTTATTCTAAGGTCAGACTGAATCACACCTCCCGGATTCTGA